TTCAAAAGAAAATTTCACTATAAAGTAGATTTGCTGATAATTTGCTAAAACATTTGGATTGCTGGACAAATGCATGTTTGGGATGAGGTTGCCCAGCTACAGTGACTTGAAGTGATGTCATGAGTAACCAAGAGACCTTTTACATTGCTTGTTTCAATTTCACAGACTGATGGGGGTAGAGGGGAGGAAGAGGAGAAAGAGCTGTTTGTCTGCCAGCTGAAAGTCACCACTGTTACAGTACATACTTAATCCCGAAGGTTAGAGAATCCCACTCTATTTTTCTCCTCCCATCCTTCCAGAAATGGTTTCACCTGGGGCTGGGAACTCTTTTTCCAGCAGTGCTAACAAGGTTTTATAAATAAGCTGCTGTTGGGGACGCAGTGAGTTGTCACCTGTGGAGTGAAAACAGAGGATGTGCTGGGGACAGAGCTTTTTGCTCAGCTCAGGGTGAACTGTCCAGCTCTTAGATGATCCCTTGCCTTTGTGGTCCAGGAGCTTGTGCCTCAGGGCTTGTCCATACAGTCGAGTTCCAGGATATGCGTTCCTTTTTGAAGGAAAATAACCTAGAAGCCAGTGCTCCCGACAGCAGGGACAGGCAGCGGCAGCAGCAGGGAGGAATTGACAGATACCGGGACACAGGAGTGCTTTGGAGATGGGCAGCAGATGGGCTGCTTCTGGCACTAAACAACACTAGGAGCTTATATGTTGCTGAGGAGAAGGTAGGCAGAGCTCCCTTGCTAACAGCAACAGAGGCAGTTTGTTGCTTCACCCCAAGATGTCACATACTTATTGACAGGAAAAAGGCTGCTTTGGTCAAGACATTGCAGTGAGATACTTGTGGTCTCAAGTGAGGGTGGGCACGTTTCCCTTGCTGCTCTTGATTGTAGCTGGTTGTAGGACTTGTGGAGGCAAGGAGAGCCTCTTGAGTGTTTTCCAAGCTCTGCAGCAGGCTTCCCAAGAGGACTGAAGGCTTTCTCATTTTCTCATATTAAAAAACAACCACACCATCAACATAACTGGCTGAGCATTGTAGCATTTCCAGCAAAGAGATAGGGAACCAGGCAGACTTTTCATTCTGATGACTCACTGACTCTCTCCTGATTTGCCTCTTGCAAGAACTGTTTGGGCAGCTGCTGATGCAGGAACATGATGCATTGGTCCCTGGGGAGCAGAACGGAGCTGCGTGGTACTTCACCTCTGAACTGGTGGATAGTTCATCTGCCTTGCTCTTCACCAATAAAGCCTTGCTCACAGCTGTGGTTCTTGCCTGGGGAGCTGATGGGGAGAAGGAGTGTTGGTGCAGACAAACAAAACGCCCAAGTGCTTTCTGTAGTCTTAAAAGCAAGAATTTGAAATCAGAGGGGCTGATGCGTTATGTTCCTGGATCTTCTTATAACCATGTCACAGCTGAAGGTTTTGTCTGTGGTCCCTCTCTAGGACCCAAGAGTTGCCCAAACACATATCCATTCTCTTTGTGAGGACAGGACCACTGTTCTATACTTGCTCCACAGATCCTTCTTGTGTGATGTTATGATGCCCATGTGTGTCTGAGAGAGGAGATCTTGTGAGCTCGGCAGCTTCTCTTCTGGAGGTGCTGGAGATGGAGGGACTACAAGTATGCAACTTATTTTGAGTGAAATTATAGGTGAACTGGGAAGACCTCAGAGCAGCTTCCAGTATCTGAAGGGGGCTACAAGGATGCTGGAGAGGGACTCGTCATTAGGGACTGTAGTAATAGGACATGGGGTGATGGGTTCAAACTGAAACAGGGGAAGTTCAGGTTAGATGTAAGGAAGAAGTTCTTCACTGTGAGGGTGTCCATGCACTGGCACAAGTTGCTCAGAGAAGCTATGGCTGCCCCATCCCTGACAGTGTTCAAGGCCAGGAGCAACTTGCTCTAGTGGAAAGTGTCTGTGCCCATGGCAGGGGTTTGGAACTGGGTGATCTTAAGGCCCTTTCCAACCCAAACCATTCCATGATTCTGTGAACAATGTGGAATCACATTAATGGACTAAAGAGTCTTGTCAGGAAGCTTTTCTATTACTCAGTTTTTGTGCCTGTGACTCCATAAAATAAGCTTCCTGGTGGGGTGGGGACTCTGAAGACAGAGAAGGGAGTGTGGTAGACTCCCAGTGTGCTCTGAGGCTCTTAATTAACACTTTGTATGACTTGGATGCACACAGGAACATTATCTGTTGGACTAAAGGGTCATGGACACTTTTTTTCCCCCAAGTTAGGATATTTTTTACAGTAGAATCATGCCTTTGTTTATTAATTGAAAACTATTAAGAGGCTTTTCCCATGTCTGTCCCCTCCAAAAGGAGAGTTATTTATTGGTTCAAGGCCAAAACAAGCAAACTTGGAGTCAAACTGATCTGTAATCTCCCTGCTTTGTTTCACTTTATCTGGGGAGCTTCAGTGTGGCTGGGTTTACAAAACAAAAGCAAACAACCCAGGGATGGTTCTGAGGCACATTTTGCTCTAAGATTTAGCTGATTTCATTCAACTCCAGTGAAGTAAAGTTATTTAAAACTTGAGGAACAGCCCAGTCTGTATGTTCACAGATCACTGTGAAAGGGCTTATTCAAGTGCAGTTAAAATATGGTGCACTGATGTTCAGGAGGGCTCCTTTCTTTTCCACAGGCATTCTTTTTGAGTGGTAGAAACCTACATTTTACTAGTTTGCAAAGCCAGAGGGGGGGAGTGCAATTGCACAGTGTCCAAATGACTATATGGGTGAGCATGTGGAGCATACTAATGGGATAACACTAATATTAATGGGACACTACTAATGAGAGTTGTTAAATTATTGACATGTATTACTGAATGTGGCATCAAACACCTTCCACTGTTAATAGCACTAATCAAACCATCAGTTCATTGCATCCATAATCAGAAACATCCTGAAGGTTGAATCACACTGTTTTAGCTTCCACAGGCCCCTATAATAGCTTAATCTGTCTTAAAATGCTTTCAGAAGTTGCTTCTTTTAGAGGTTTTCCTAATTTTTTTCTTCATCTTGGCAGCTGATGTAAAGTGTTTGGATGCTCTAATGAATTCTGCAGTGTCTGTTGCTGCCCCTGCTCATCTGCTGTACACAGGAGACTTTTCTTCTGTTTATATTTAATTCATGAAATACAAATATTCCCAACTCATATTCTAGAACATCCTACAGAAACTTCTCTGAAAGCTTTAGTCTTCACTACAAAGAGAAGGTAAAGGAAAAGAAAGGTAAGGAAGGCTTCAATTCTCTCTTGTGTCCTCATTGGAATTAGAAGGAGAGTTTTGAAGTCTGCCAAAACATATTCTTTGCTTCCAACCCCAAATTATCCAATGTTTGTTCTCTCCTTTCATGTCATTTCACAACTCTTCTTGCTTTGGGTATGCATGACCTTCATCTGGGTATGTGGAAAGCATTCAGCTTTTGAAACATCTTGATTTTTGTGGAGATGCTGAGAATTGGTTATTTGGAGCAGGGATGAAGGATGGGAAATTTTAACCCAAAGGACAATTCTTTGAGGGAGTCCAGTTTTCCTCCACACTGCTCATGGGCACAGTGTGTGTGACTCACTAAGCACACACTCAGCTGTGATTCCTCAGGGGTTTCAAGGAGGTGATAACCGAGTTCTGAATAGATGAGTTCCATCTGTAAATTCAGAAGCTAGATCCAGAGTTCCCTGGAAGGTGAGAGGTACTTTTTTGGATGCTGGGTTTAGTTCTGACTATGCTGCTTTGTGAAAAGGGCAGCTGATGAGCATCCAGACACCCCAGAAGCCTTGCAGTGAGATGCTCACTCAGTGTTGATTCTGTACAGCACAAGCAGTTAGAATGACTTCCAGATTCACACTCTCTTCTGCCTGCTGGCCATCAGCAACTTCCCCAACTGCAGAAATCCTTCAGTGGCATGTGGAAACCAGGGGAATAAAAGCAAAGTCATATGGGAAATTATAAGGTCTGTGCCAGAGAATCCACCTTTGTTATTGATATTCGGAGCTGCCGAGGCTCTCATATTCATTCAGTTTAAGGACCTCACTGATTTAAATGTGTCACTTGAAATAAATATTTAAAGGCTTACTTTTAACCTTTTTATTTCTGTTTTTTGAGGGCTGGGGTATGTGACTACCTGTATGTGCATTGAAGTACATGCATACATGAGTGGTTTGCTGCACTAATCTGCTAACTAGAACCGCTTTTAAGTGGACCTCCTACCATTGTGTCAGTCAGGCTTGCTTAGTACAGAAGGGATCTCACAAGCCTAGAATGGTTTGAGTTGGAAGGGAACTTAAAGCTCATCCAGTTCCAACGCCCTGCCATGGGCACTTTCCACTAGACCAGGTTGCTCCAAGCCCCATCCAGTCTGGCCTTGAACACTGCCAGGGATGGGGCTGCCACAGCTTCTCTGGGCACCCTGTGCCAGGGCCTCACCACCCTTGCAGGGAAGAACTCCTTCCTTATATCCAGTCTAAATCTACCCTCTTTCAGTTTGAAGCCATTACCTCGTGTCTGGGCTTCTTGATCAGAACCGTGCATCTTCATGGAGATCAGTCTGTTCAGAGCTCTGTCAGAGAGGGTCCAAATCACCCACCAGCACCCGAGCCTGTCAGTGTGTTGGGTCATTAAAAGACCTGTGAAGCTGTAGTAGCCCCATGCACCAGAACAGGGAGAGGGCTCTTCCCAGGCTTGCTTTTGACATGAGGCACAGAGTAGTATGTTCTCCAGCACTAGCCATACCCCTTGTGCTTTCCAACCCACAGGAAGTGCAAACAGGCACTGATGGCTAATTTAAGCAGCTGCTTTTAAAGACACAGTGTCAGTGGTGTCCATTCAGTGTATGCAAGCAGACTCTGATCTGGTGCCACTGAAATGCCACAGTGCTTTAGGGTGGTGATGGATGCCCCACAGTGCTCTGAGTGTGTGAGTGTATTCCTTTTGCGTGAACTCGCTTGGCCGGGGTGTGAACTAAGCTTGCAGCTTAAACGATGTTTCTGCCTCCTTTGCAGACGTGGGAAAGCTTCAGGATCGTGGAGTGGGTCTCAGGGAGGCACTGGAAGTGGCTTGGTTCCTGGTCATGCCCGGTGGAAGGAGGGGACCCAGCCGGCAGCAGCTAAGCCGTTCAGCTTTGCCTTCTCTCCAGACGCTGGTTGGCGGGAACTGCGGGAACGGTGCTGGGTTGAGAAACAGGTGAGGACAAAGGGAGGGTTGTGGAGATATCTGTAGTGGCGCCAGAAGCTGAGGAGCCTTGATCCACTCTGTGCATGAGTGTGGCTTCATGGTTAAAGTGAGAAACTGGGGCACGGGAACCTTGAGCCCTCCGCTGTGGCATTAGGAGGTGGCCCATCCAAGAGGGAATATGCCCTGCATGACAAACCTCTTCCAGCTTCTCCCCTGAGCTCTGCTACCATGATTCCCTTTATGGCCCCTCTCATGACTTCATGCATTAAAATCAGCCTTGTGGGGAGGATTGTGGAAGTGGTCACAGCCACCCTTCACTGCTCACCATGGTCATAATGACCAGGGGTGGAATGGCACAGTGCTCAGATTGTCCTTCCCTGCAGCAGTCACCAGAGCAGTGAGTCCTGGCAGATTATGAGTTCTTGCCTCTTGCTCACTTGTCTGCAGTGCTACAGGGAGTCAGTGTGACCTGTCAGAGCTCAGCTGTGAGTCCCCCTCCTATGTGATAGAAAAGCGTCCTCCTGCCCTGCCTATCTTCTGTTTTAGTCCTGCTGGCTGCAGATGAGACTCATTCAGTTGGCAAAGCTCCTCTCAATTTTTTGAGGAAGTTGGAGGCTGAAAAAAGAACACACAGTGACATTTAGTTCTCCACATTTGGCACAAAGACTAAAAAAGGCCCAATGTTACTTCCTTCCGTACAGAAGTTAGCAAACTAGAGAAGCTCTGCTGTATGCTGAGGCCCTGATCAACCTGGTATAAGTTCATCCTTAGAGAGTAAAGAGATCCAAGCCATTTAGTTTTGGCCTTTAAAGACTTCTCTGGCTGGGACAGATGGACAGATGTCACACTCATAGCTTCTTGAGCAACAAGTGACTGTTTAGACCATGGAGTCAGTGCCTCAGGGTCCTGGGCAAGCGCTGTTTATCCTGCTTGCAGTCAGACACAGCAGAGTTTGTGTCTGAGCTTCCTCCGTTCAGTCTGCTGGAGCTTTTAGTTGTCCTGTCCTCCTCTGAAGCCTAGGAAAAAAGGAAGTGTGAGAACACTTGAGAAGTCAGCCTCTAGGAAGTGGCTGAACTGCTCTGTTCCATTTTTAGTTACCCCTCACAGAGGAACTGTGAGGAGAGGAACGATGGACACTTTGCAGTGCTGGAGAAAGAGGCTGGGTGCTACTGTAATGTCTTAGTGATGGGCGGGCGGAGTGAATATTCATAGGATCATAGAATGGGTTTGGGTTGGAAGGAACCTTCAGAGGTCATCTAGCCCAACCCCCCTGCAATGAGCAGGCACATCTTCATCTAGATTAGGGTGCCCAGAACCAGCCTGGCCTTAGATGTCTCCAGGGATGGCGCATCCACCACCTCTCTTGGGCAACCAAGGTGTTTTGCCACCCTCAGTGTAAAGAATCTCCCCTCTTTTAGTTTAAAACCACCACCCCTCATCCTGTTGCAACAAGCCCTGCTAAAAGGTTTCTCCCCATCTTTCTTCTAGGCCCTTTTTAAGAACTGAAAGTCTGCAATAAAGTCTCCCTGGAGCCTTCTCCAGGTTGAACAACCCCAACTTTCTCAGCCTTTCCTGATATGGAGAGGTAACATTAAGTGGTCAGTTTGGCATAGAGTCCTTAATGTTTGTTGCTTGGAGTTTTTTCCTCACTCTGTGTACTTGACTTCCTCCAGCTTCAAGTTTGGTCCGTGTCGTAACAGCTCAATCTGCTGCCTGGAGAAAACGCTGAATGTTGGTTTTGGCTGAACTAAGATAAAGCTCACCACCAGTCTCATGCGAGAAATACAAATGTGAGACTGCTGCCACCTCTCCTCTAGCAATGCTCAGTCCCAAATTCACAACCTCAAGCACTCCCTGTCCTGCAGAATGGTAGAGATGATGTAGGATGTTTACCAAATGAGTGCTGTGTGTCTCCTCAGGAATGGTAGTGCCATCAGCCTCTCGGCGCCTCCCATCACAGCGCTGATCACTCCAGAGCCTGTCCGTCACTGCCGCATCCCTGAGCTGCCACTGGATGGGAGCCTTCTCTTTGAATTCCTGTTCTTCATCTACCTGCTGGTAGCCCTCTTCATTCAGTACATCAACATCTACAAGACTGTCTGGTGGTACCCGTACAATCACCCTGCTTCCTGCACCTCACTGGTGAGTTCCCCAGCAAATGGCATCACTCATGGTTTTTCATTACACAGCTTCTTTTCATGCTTCCTCAGGCCAGGAATCACCAAACATTTGACATTAGGGGAGTGAAGGAGAGTTCACATGCAACCCCCATCAGCCAGGATCATGTCATCCCCCATTTTACAGGGGAGAAAATACATAGAAGGTGAGAAAGAAGTGCCAGCATGACTCCTTCAGTGGAAATTCCTTGCATGGCCTAGCTAGATCCTAGGGTTTGAAATGGAGTTGAGACTCCAGGAGCCTGCTGTCTCCTGCCGTGGGTGCCCCTTCGCAGTGGAAACAGCAGAACCTGAGAGAAGGAAGATGGTGCAAGTTTTCTTTAGGATCTCACAGCGTATCAGCAGCAGAGGAGTTGGGGAAGAGATCCTCAGGTTACGTCAAGCTTCCAGTCTCCTCAGTTTTAGTCTTCTTCCTGGCGCAATAAGCTGCACAGTGTGGCAATGACCTGTACCTGAGTCAGCAAACCTCATGTGAGTGAAGCTAGCTTCTGAAGTGGTCCTTCAGTTTTTATGGTGTCCTTGCTGCTTGGAAGCATGAAGTGGTTCCTTAGTTAACTATACCGGCAGGTGGTGCTGGTGGTGCAGTTATCAGTTTCGAGTTCAGCTCTGCCGTGCTGGACACAGCTTGCTTTAAACAGTAGTTTTAGGCTCCCTACCTGAAAGGATTTAATGGTCATTTGTTTGTTCCCATCAGAAATCAAGCATTCTTTTTCACCCAAAATGGCCTTGAAGTCCCAAACAGCAGTATTCACACTCTGCTAACTGTTCTAGCCACACCACCTTTGATAGCTTCCTTCAAAAATCAGAAGGGGTCCAAAAACTGTATCTAATTTGAAGAAGCCAGAGCCAACATGAAACTTCTCATACAGATCTATGGCTCGTGAAGATGACATTTCTCAGCTCAACCTGATTATCAGGGAATATTGGTCACCACAGACCATTTCTAAGACCAAGAGCTAAAGTGAGCTGGTGTGCTCGCTCTGGGCTCTGTTTCATCTGCCCTTGCTCTGGTTGCTTATTGGCTTTTCCAGGGATGACTTGCAATCCTGGTCCAAGATGTCGCTTTGACCACAAAAACACCTACCTGAAGGGTGGGTTTGTTTTCAGTGGAAATCTCTCCATGGGAAGGAACCTCCATGTGGGGAAGATCTTACATCTGGAGACGTTCCTGTGTTACTGATGTTTATCCGTTCTCCCTTATCCCTAACAGAGAGACTTGGGGAACACTTAACCTGAGGTCCTGATGCACTCGAGCAGGCAGCTTTCCTGTCCCACCCCAGCTGGGTGGTTCCAGAGCCCCTTCCCCTGGTGAAGACCCTTTTTTCTTTCCTCCTTCAGAACTTTCACCTCATTGACTATCACCTGGCGGCGTTCATCACAGTGATGCTGGCGCGGAGGCTGGTGTGGGCCCTCATCTCTGAGGTAACATAACCATCTCGGAGGCTTCCTCTCCTGCCCCTAGTACTGGTTGTAGAGCATGACCATCTGTGGCCTCAGAAAGTTCTGCAAGTTGGAGAGCTGGAGGGTTTCTTCCCCCCCAGAACAAGTCCGCATGCGAAGGACTAAGATTGTGGGGATGCTTTCTCCTTGAGCCCATTCGTGTCCCGCAGTATTGGGTAACTCGGTTGCCTCTGCAGATAGAAAGAGGTGAAGGAGATGCTCCCACTTGCTTCTTTATCGCTGCAGGCCAGTATTGTACCTCACTATCTCGAGGCAGAGAAGTGGCTGAGGGAATTGCAAGTCAGTTAGCAGAAAGGCAACTAGGGAGTTAGCCAAGAATGAACAGGAGATGAGTGGGGAAAGGTCAGGAGGAGGATGTCTGAGTACACTGAAGTGAAATAGGAATAGGTGATAGAACTGCTTTTCCAGTCCTGGTTACTCAGTAACTTTAGGACTCTGGTCATGCCACCTCAGATTTTGAAGATCCTCTGTGAGAGCAGAACCAGACCAAATGTATGTTTGACAAAGGTCTTTTTGAGGAAGATGGAAGTTCTGTCCTCTGAAATGGTTAATAACAACACAAGGCTAAGCAATACATTTAAAAACAGATAAAGGAACCGTTGTGTCCTGTGGAATGAGTGAATGGAGAAGATCTCTGAAGTTCTCCTTTCATCTCTGATTCCTCTTTCATTTATGTTCCCATTCTCCATAAAACTTCTGGCACATCCCATCTAAGAGCTGTAGCCCCTGAGAACCTTTCCATAGTTCAGTTACCTTCTCCCTTCTGGAGGCAGGAACAAGCTTTCTCCCTTTCCTTTCCAAGGTGGTGCCTCCTCAATGAACTGCAGCCTGTACACCCAGTAGATGAGGGGTGGAAATCTAGCTTTGGGATTGGCAGGGTGCACCATCTTCTCCTCCCTCAGCCGAGAACTGTGACATGCCAGTTCTTTAGGGAAATGAATGATGAGGCATGATCCTTCTGAAGGAAAGAGGAAGAGGAAATGTCTCAGACTTTCCTGGACTATCATCAGATAAGGGACTGGAACAAAAGTATTTTCTGCTTTGCAGACCCTATTTTAGCCATGCCTCACAACTTGTGCTTATTTGAATCTTGGATTCTGTCAATGCTGAATAAAGTCAGATGTTCACCTTTGTAAGAGGGTCAGCCTCCTTCTTCAGGGAGGGAAAGGGCAGCCATTCATCCTTCTCACAGTGCCTCCTGGCACCATTTTCCTGCTCCACAGGCACCCATTATGCTCATGTTCTAACACTTGTGTTCCAAGCTGCTGAATGGTTCTTCTCCATTTGCAGGCCTCTCAGGTGGGTGCAACATCAGTGATTCACTACATGGTGCGCCTGGTGCTACTCACCCTCTGTGGATGGGTGCTCTGCTGGACTTTGGTCAACCTTTTCCGCAGCCATTCTGTGCTCAACCTGCTCTTCCTGGGCTACCCGTGAGTGACACTGCCTGGTACCTTGAGGGTGAGGGAAGCAGAGCTGCTGGGGGTGGATGAGCCCCTATGGGAAGCAGAGCTGTTGGCTGTAATCGAGCTCCTCACCTTGTTAAAGTGGCTGAGGACGTAGCAGCACTGAGCTGATGAAGTAATTGCCTCAGCGTGCTGTTTGTACGGGAGGGGCCTTTACTGTGACCAAAGACTGAGCCATTGGGATCATTGGTTTCACAAATAGGATTTCAGAAAGCTTCTCTGTCGAAGCCTCTAGACTTTTATGGGGAGAAGAGATGGCCACTAGCTTATGGAGTAAGGGTCCCCCTCATCTGTTGAGAAGGTACCCCTGCTTTATGTTGGGTTGTCTGTCATTCCAGCCCTTCATTTCTTTCTCTCCCTGCAGATTTGGTGTCTATGTTCCTCTGTGCTGCTTCCACCAGGACAGCAGAGCACAGCCCCTGCCTGCAGACTGTGATTACTTGGTACAGGACCAGATGGTGGACGATGGGGCTTCAGCTGTCAGCAGCCTGGTCAAACCCAAAGATTTCCTCTCTCTTCTGTGGGAATCCCTGAGGGAACAGTTCAATAACCCCACGTCCATCCCCACCCACAGCTGCCCCCTTTCCCCAGATCTCATCCGCAATGAGGTGGAGTGCCTAAAAGCAGACTTCAACCGCAGGATCAAGGAAGTTCTCTTCAACTCTCTCTTCAGTGCCTACTACGTGGCATTCCTGCCATTGTGTTTTGTGAAGGTAGCTCTCGCCTGGCTCTCTCCGTGCCCCTGAATGTTGTGTGAATTGCTGCCAGGCCAGATTCCTGGTTAATTCCCCTTTTCTCTGTCTCCCCTTTGGCAGCCCGGATAGCGGAGCATGGCTGCATCCGGAGTGCACTAGTACTGCTCCTGGTTGGAGGATAGGTATTGCTGTAAATGTGATGCACCTCTAGTCCCATCACCCCACTTACTAACTCCCCTCCTCCCACCCCTGTCTTAGGCAGATGGATAGCTGTGTTAGAAAAGGCAACCTCTTGTTACCCATCTCAGATCCACCATCCTGGCTTTCGAGTGCTTGGAATAGAGGCTTTGGTGGTCACCCTGTTAGAAAACAGAGCCAACTAGGATGCTTGGCAAGCTAAATCCAGCAACCTCTTGTCACTGTGGGAGTTGTATTTTGCAGTCTGGTGTCTTCCTAACTTGAACGAGCTTCAGTTGGTGTAGTGAAATGGGCAGAGTCCCACAATCCATGTAGCAGTCTTGGTGCATTTGGTGCTCCTGGGGCATTTCTGTGGCAAGCAAACCCTGTTGTTACCTGCTGCTGGAGGAAGAGATATACCAGCTGCAGCATCAGCCCCTGCCCTTTCTCCTTCAGGTCAAGGAGAAGGGAGTCTTGAGTGTTTCCTAAACTGTAACCTTCTGAAGCCACCGGTCCAAAAGCGCATGCCTGTAACGTGTGGTGTGGGTCTGCTGGATGCACTATGTCCGTTGTCGTTCCTCCCTTCACTTTGTGACAGTGGTGCCAAGTTCTTGTCTGGTCTTTTTGCAGAGCACCCAGTACTATGACATGCGTTGGTCCTGTGAGCACCTCATCATGGTGTGGATCAACGCCTTCGTCATGCTCACCACCCAGCTGCTGCCTCCCAAGTACTGTGACCTGCTCCACAGATCAGCTGCCCACCTTGGCAAGTGGCAGAAACTAGAACATGGTTCCTACAGCAATGCTCCACAGCATATGTGAGTATGGGGCTGGGGAGGGCTTAGTACATTCTAGTAGATAAGCAACTACCAGCAGTAGTTACCTACTGAGGACACCTCCATTCCATGTGAAACTCTGCTGGTCTTTTTGTTCCCTAGAAACAGAAACATCTGCTCTCTGAGCTCCTTCAGTCACTGCTGGTTCCTTCCCAGAAACAAATGTTGAGGTTCTTCTTAGCCAGTGGAGAAGTAGCTTGGGCAAGGGGTGACCCTCTCCAGTGCAGTGGGCTGGGTTGTTGCGCTGGGAGCCATTTGTTCACATTGAGTGCATGTGATGTACTTGTGATGACCCCTCTGTGCTTTTCCAGTGGGACATGTCCTTGTGGCAGAGGCTTTGGTGTTTTTCAAGCTACAGTCTATGTCTGTGAACCCATGGTCACAGATGCTAATGCTCTGGCATTCTTTCCTCACAGCTGGTCGGAGAACACAATATGGCCACAAGGAGTTCTGGTGCGACGCAGCCGGTGCCTGTATAAAGCAGTTGGGCCTTACAACGTAGCAGTGCCTTCAGATGTGTCCCATGCCCGTTTCTATGCAAGTATCTCTTCTCCTGCTTCACATGTCCAGAAAGGGACTCTTCATCAGCGACTGCAGCAATAGGACAAGGGGTGATGGATTCAAACTGAAACAGGGGAAGTTCAGGTTAGATCTTAGGCAGAAGCTCTTCCCTGTGAGGGTGCTGAGGCACTGGCACAGGGTGCCCAGAGAAAGCTGTGGCTGCCCCATCCCTGGCAGTGGTCAAGGCCAGGTTGGACAGGGCTTGGAGCAACCTGGTCTCAGTGTGAGGCATTCTTACCCATGGCAGGGGTTTGGAAGTAGATGATCTTAAGGTCCTTTCCAACCCCAACTATTCTATGATTCCATTCTTTGTTACTATTGTGGGAGGAGGAAGAGGCCCAAACCTGGCTGCAGTAGAGCAGAACATGTGGAACAGAGTTTTGTTCAGCAGCAACAGGCTGTTGTGCAGCACTAAACACTGGCTTGCGACAGAGAGGCTTTCCTGACGCAGTGTTACAGTGGTGTCTGGGCAAGGTGGAAGCCACAGCTGCCTTATCACTGCTGTCTCATTGTGGTGATCAGGCATATTCTTAAGGGAGTTCTAGTTAATGTCTTCCACAGATACAGGAAAGCGTGTCAGCTGGCCAATAGCTTATTTCACCTATTAAGCAAAATGACACTTCTACATGCCTTGTTTCTTACACTGTTTTTCCTAAGTGGTAGCTAGTGGTGGTCACTAGCACTGACAGCATTTTGTACATACCTCTCCCCAGTTGACCACTGCAATGAATGATAAGAGATCTCCCCTTTCTCACTGTCTCCTGCAGTTCCTTTTCCACCGTCCGTTACGGCTGCTCAACCTGCTCATTCTCATCGAAGGCAGCGTTGTCTGCTACCAGCTTTACTCACTGCTGCGCTCAGAGAAGTGGAACCATACCCTCTCCATGGCCCTCATCCTCTTCTGCAATTACTATGTCTTATTTAAGCTCCTCCGGGACCGGATAGTATTAGGCAGGGCTTACTCCTACCCGCTGAACAACTATGGACTGAAGGCACACTAGGCCGGCCACACGTGTACCCTTTTTCTCCTTCCCTCCCCCCAGGGCAGGGAGGGAACCTCAGAAAAAAAAGAAAAGATATTTTCATACAGTTCTATTTTTTTCTTGCAGCATTTCTAAATATTTAAGATATTTTATATTTTGTATACTATTGGTTTTGGGGGGAGGGAAGGGGGGAGGGAACCAGTGGCAATTAAATGTCGCTTTATAAACAAGGTGTTATTTTATATATATATAAAACCAAATCAATGTGTATATACCGTGTATCTCTACCCATACATGTATCTATGTGAAGCAACAGGATTGTGTGTGTGGTCACTGTGTCTGCTTTGCTCACACAACTGCTTTGCTATTGCATACTGGGGATAGAACTGTTGTTAACTGGTCTGCTATGGAAAATGAGTAAGCAGACAGCCAGGAGCAGAAAGGAAATACAGGGGCCTTCCCCCAGGGTGAGTATAGTTTATCTTTTAGCTCAGTACCAGAGAAGTCTTGCAGTGGAAACGTGCACTGCTGTGATGCCAGTTTAGGGAAAGGGAGGAAGCAGTGTGTGGAAAGACAGGCTTGGGTTCCTGTCAGTTTGTAAAAGCTCTCAAGTTCTTTCTCTCCACTGGTAGCAGCATCCAAGTATGATTTAAAAGGAACTCTTGCTCCTATCTCTCTCCCCAGCAGCTTCAGCTCCCTCACTTCACCCAGGGAATTAACTAAATATTGAAGCTGTAATTTGAGGGTAGTATATCATTTAGGAAGAGATTAGCAAATAAATAGCTTCATCTGCAGTTTATTCTTGTAAAACACTTCAATTCCCTTATTGCTATACAATGGATTTTAACAGTCTTTCACTCTTAAGGTATATTGACTGGTACTGTTTAATAACTTACCATTAATAAGAAAGGAAATACTTTGCTTTTAAAGTGTTCTTCATAAAGCTGAACTATACCAGAACCTAGTGAAAAATCTTTGTGGCAGTATCACAGAGAGGAACTGAAGACAACAGACAGTATTAACCATAGAATTAATTTAACTGGGGATGCTGGTGACAGGCTGATGGTAGGAGTTGATGCAGTAATTCAGGTATTTAAAGAGGAGACAGCAATGCAGTGTTCTTCCTTTCAGATGCCGCCTGATGTAACTGTGACCATTAGTAAAGTGCTAGCTCTGGTTAAAGAGTGACTGTGTAGGGGGAATAAACCCAAACTCTGCTGAGTTTGGAAGAAACTGCAACTACTTTCTGTTCCTTCTTTCCTTCCAAGGCAAGTAAATACAGTGATCTCTGCTCCTGTCTGCATGACAGCTTCTCCAGCAGCCTCATCACAGGCCCAGGATACCTACTGAGGGAGGCAACAGGAGATACCTCCGAGCTTTAACCCCCAGCTACTCCAAAATGAACACAAACACTTAGCTTTGGTTACTCCTAGACTTTGTCTTATCTTTCATGTGGCCCCTAGTGCTGCTGACAAGGACACAGGTGCTTCAGAGTTTAGAGTCTGGGGCCTTGCATTGAGACACAGGCTTTTGAGCCATGTCATGCTTCCTGTAGTACAGCCTCATCTCTAATCCATGTCTTAATTCTAGCTTGATTACTTTGGGAAGCACATTTGGGTAAGAAGGGGTTGGCTTCCTACCTAGAGCAGTCTCTGCTGCATGTGGCTTTGTGCAACACCTTTCTTGAAACTGGGTGCAATTCTTGCAATAGCTCAGTACCATTTCATACAGATTTTACCTGTTTGGCATAGGCTCAGCACTCCTTACTCAGTATTACCAAGTAGCTTCTTCTATTTGAGCACCTAAATGATAGGCTTATACTTAAGCAATCACTAGAAATAAAGAGGCTCTCCCAAGGCCTGTTTTGGAAAACAGAGATGTGCAATAGAAAGCCAGAACCTTGAGCCAGGGCTTTTGGTCATGGAGTTGATCGGGATTTATGCTCTGCTTTTAACGCCTCTTGCATGTCAGGCTGAAGGTAGGTGAGCACACCCATACCTTGTGCAGCAGTTAGATTGACTTTACACTGTTCATAGCATAAGGGACAGCAGAGCAGTGATGCTTCCATAGCTACAGGCTTTCTATTTTGCTCTGAGGGACTGCAGGGCCAAAACACACACTCCTTAGCAGGTATGCTAAGATCCCTCTCATTCCAAGGGAGGTAGGCATTACTTGCTGCCTCTCCCCCTCAGAAGAGTACCTTGGTTACATCCTGGAGCAGTAGTTCTGTGAGGTTTAAGGTCTAGAGACTGTATCTGTCCATGCACAGTACATGAACTGCCTGCATGCAGTCCTGTAGATTCAAGTGTCTTCCATCTTTACACCTACATGGAAAGAAGTTGCAGAACATAGTTGCAGCTTCCCCTGTGGGTAAAAACACAGTGAGGAACTAGCTAGCACAGTTGGTCTCCCCAGTATATACTGGATCATCCAATAACAAGGAGGGAGTAGAAATCATGTCTGCTCAGCATCAGTGCCCGCTGGGCTCAATGTTCCTCCCCACTCCATAACTGGCTCTGCTGCTAGGTGAACACTGAAAACAAGTCCACTCTGATACTTGGTCAGGTCAGATGGGGAAGAACCAGACTGTTGGTCACTGCCATCATGCGAGGATGTCGTAGTAAATAGATGGTTTTTTGGTCTGACAACGGAACTGCTCCAGCTTCAGGCCAATCCTCAGAAGAACAGCTTCATCCCACCACTTTGCCATTACCTGGGAGAACATGGGGGAGTGGCTGTAAAATAGCATCACCACATACAGATGCTCTTGAAAGTCCTGGAAAATACATCCTTCCCCCCCCAACAGCACCTAAAGGACATGTGTTTTTCCCTGTCATCCTGTTAAGGATGGCATCATTGCACTGGGATAACAGCAGCTGACTAACTTTTAACTAGAAGACATGGAGCTTTCATTTACATGAGACCTGTTTCAAGGGAGAAGGGCCCAAAGAAGTTACAGAAATAAGAAAAGAGTAGTGACAAGTACTAGGTACTTCTGCAAGTAGAGAGAGAAATCTAACTCCCAGGTACCTGAAGAGTCCCTCTGCCATTCAGGAGTGAGTTACTCCGAGGCAAATCTCTTCTTCCACAAGTTAAAACATTTATTACCAGTACCTGCCAAATCCTTATGTGTGGAACAGCAAGAACCTGGTCATAGTGGTTCAGGACAAAGCTAGCTGGGGGTTCTGTGACCCAGCATCCACAAAGAGCAAATACTCACCTGGAAACCAATGGGAAGCCCAGCCACAGAATATCCAATGGGAACCACAATGCCTGGAATGCCAGTGAAGTTCGCAAGCTGCATGAACCTGGGGGAAAATCTGTCATCAGCATTCCTGCCTTGGGACAGCAGCAAAGTCTTTCTTTTTTTGGGAGTTAGGATCTCTCTCCTGTGCTACAGCCAGAGCTCCATCAGTTTGTGCAGCTAATCTCCAGCTGTTCCCAACCTCCTTTCCATAGTGCAAGCAGCACCCTTCTTACCTCATGGACCGCATCGTGAAGGCTGAATCGCTGCTCCCAGTCAAGAGGTCAGATTCATAGATTCTTGGGGCAGTGGAAGGAACAGCTGTGGAGGGATCACAAAGTGACTGAGATTGAAAGGGACCTCACGTGGGCATCGTGTCTAACCTTCTGTCTCAAGGAGTGTCAGCTAGAGCAGGTTCCTCAGAACCATGTCCTTTTGAACATCCCCAGGAATGGAGAGTCCACAGCCTCTCTGGGCAACCTGATCCAGTGCTTAAAGAGCAATGAGAGAGTCAGGCAATGGACAATCTCCAAGGAACAGTTCATTAAAGCCACAGGTTTGATGCACATGGGTGATGCAAGCTCACTCTCCTGCAATGCAGTCAAGTCACTGGCATTTATGAATGAAGCAGTTAAGAGTCTACTTAGAGCAATAGCATTTCCATACATTAGTAATGTCCAGTCTCTCTTGTGTAAATGTGCAGGCTCTGCAAGTACCAAGGAGTTTCTCACTACCATGGATATAGAAACATGCCAGAAATACACAGCAGCCTTTACAACCAGGCTGCATTTTCTTCTAAAGGCTTGAGGCACAACAAAGCATGTGCACAAAAGTCACACTTAAAAATAGGGAGGGAAAGTGTATAGAGTGATTGCTCTTAACATGTACCACAGAGTTGCTGGGGACCAGCTCTTTGGTCAGGACTGCCCATACCTGGTGTAAGGATACAGTGCACGGTAGCGAAGATGTCCTGCAGGAATCTCATGCTCCGAGTTCTTTGTCGATTTGCCTGCAAGCAGAGAGACCTGCATGAGCAGGCCTCTCGGTTCACAGGTCTGATGTTGACAGACTCTGCCCACCAAAGCCTATGCCTTTGCAAAAGAAGACCTCGTTCGTGCAGTTTGGAATCAAGATGCAGGACATCATGTCCTCTGTGGTGCTTCACAATTCAGCATGCAGAGGAGCACAGCTGGTGCCATCTTTCCACGTGTATAGGGAGATTAAAACAAGCCTCTACCCCACTTTTACAGTCTCACTAGGTGCCTTGTCACAGCATGTTCCTTACCGTAATATAATCCAGAGCTGTGAACTGGGAAGCCAAGGCCAGGTTAGCCCGAGTGTCCAAATTCTGAAAGAGAAAACCTGGATCATGGCTCTGCTTGCAAGAAACTGGATGTGACAGCCAACGAGTTCTCTGCTTGTATCAGTAGTCATCCAGCAGGTGGTTTGTCATAGAAGCCTCAGTGACACCGACATGCCACCCGTTCAACTCCTGCCCCTGCTCCAAACTGCTGCTACTTACCATTTCCTGGAAGTGTTTATTGAAGTCAGGTTGCAGGAAGTCCCTCATCTCACTGAGAATGCAGATTACGTGTGCTACCCGCACCTCCTCCATCTCTGGGAGAGACACTTCAACCACACTGGCTCCCAGACTCTGCAGGTGCTCCACAGCTGCGTACAGAGCAGGTAAAGCACAGAGAGCATCTCTGAGTTCACAGAGCTTCATAGAAGGGCTGCAAATCCCCACCCCTTAGACCATCACAAGCCTTTTCAGTGCATCATGTGGTATGCAGGCTGCTGCTGCTGCTGCTTCTCATAGGTGAAAGCCTTCAGCCTAACTAGGTATCAGTTTTCCAGCAGGGCAGAGTTTGTAGGATGGTTCCCAGCTTACCCCACTGTACTTCAGCCAAGTTCATCTCTTCCTTCTAGCCTCTCAGTTAACTCAGAGTGAAGGCAGACTGACTGCTTCCCTGAGCACTTAATGTAACCTGTATTCTATGAGCGTGATCACTTAGCATCATGAGATTCCCATTCAAAGCCTCTTCTGAATCATGAATGTAGAGGAACCCAGAGGATACTCAAGAGACCAGGTCGTCAATACAGGCTTACTGAGTCCTGATGGATTTTAGCAAGGCTGAACACCAGGACTTTGGGAAAAGTCAATCTTTTGCAGTGTAAGAAGAGTCCCCTTCTTTCTTTGACTCCAACTTCTTCATGAATACCAAAGGTTGCCTGTTTTCCTGGCTCATGGTGCATCTCTCCTAAGAAAACTTGACACATCTAGAAGCATGAGTGTCTGTGGAAATAAGGAGGCTGAAGCAAATCCAGGCAAACAAAGCCTGAACACTGTGAACTCTTTCAGCTCCAACACATAAGAACCCAACTACTGTACCAGGCATTGTACAATCTTTCTTCCCCACCCCCAAGTACTCACCCAGGGTCAATTTTGCTTTGTTTGAAATCTGACAAAGCCACCCTAAAGGCACCATTTAGCTCATTTTAAGGACATACCAGAGGACTGGATACATCACAAAGCCCTAGCCCTGTCTTTCCTACTGAATTATATTGTGAAACAAGTGCATCCCTTAAAAGTCTCTTACTATTAAAGCCTTCAGAGTAAGTATTCCTGAGCACAGCTCTGTCTTTATACAGAAGCTTAGCACACTGGATTGCATTCTTGCATTGTAATCTGACAAGCCCACAACTGCTGAGCTTTTTACCCCTCAGCAGTCAGGAGGGTTTCCCTGTAACAAAGCTCCTGCTGTTTGTCCAGCCGGACCTCTCAACAGCTGCCTTTAAGGACTTCAGGCAACAGTTTTGTAATGTATGCAAGAGAAGCACCAAGTGATCTCATTACATCAGGCAGAGTAAGAGACTTACAGACTTTTCCTCTTTACCTTTCTCACAGATGGACAGGACTTCTTCATCACATTCCTAAAGAGTAAGAGGAAAGAACTAAGTAAACTGCAGTAACTGCCCTCCTCTCCTTGGGGAGCACACTGGGGCTGATGGAGCTTTCCTTATTACTGTCTCTAGTGGTAGTGAAGCACAGCCCTCCAGGACTGCCTTAGGCCACCCGCTCCAAGAGAACTGCTTGCAGGTCATACCCCTAAGGAGAAAAAAAAGTCCTCTTTTCCAGAGGTAGGGATAGTTCTTCTCTGCACTGGGGCACAGCCAGAAAGAGTCCTTGTTTTCTCTCCAGGGAAGAAATGTTGAACACATTTGTGAGGGTGCATTACAATTGCCAAGCTGTACTAGTGTGCAAGCCCACTTTCTACATGGGAAGGGTGAAATACTACTCTGCAGCTACAGCACCATCACCAAACGGATACTCTCATTACTTCAATGATAACAGGCAAGAGAACAGTGAATGAATTGAATTCTTTTTAAACCTCATTTTGCAAAGCAGCAGAAAGAGAGAACAGACACCTTAAAAAATGTCCAGTCCACTCCCAGTTTTAAGCCCTTCAGGTCAGGAGCACACATCCCAGATAGGGTTGCTTTGGGTTGTTTGAGTCCTGCAGGGAATAAATAAAGAGTTCCTCTTTTTATCTAGGATGTCTCTAGGAAGACAGAGGACCTGGGCTCAGGGAGGGAAAGCTCTCACCTACCATATGGATAGAGTGGATCTGGCTCAGCAAGGATACTGTAAGCAATGGCTGCATCTACTACTGAGGTACACATAGGGCCTGTAAAAGATAGATAAAACAAGGGGTAAATAGTGCCTTCCTCTCAAGGTCTTCTGTAGGCACAGATGCCCTCCCCTGTGAGAGCACCACAACACCATAAGTCCCCTTACCTACGCTGACTGTGGAGTAGGAGAGTGGCAAGCTGCCATGAGAACTGATGCGCCCAAACGTACCTGCAGACAAGGAAATGGGCAGTTAGGGAGATCTCAGCAGTCACTGGGGAGATCTGACCCACATGGCTCTGGTACACCCAGTAAGCAATATACCCATGCCAGCCACTTTACTGCCTGTCATTTCAGAGCCCAGTCACTCATCTTTCAGTACCCTGTTCTGCTGGCCACGACCTGCTTCATCAGTCAAACAGCAAGAGTGAAACTTGTTTCTCCCCCCTCCAAGAAATTATATAGTTGAGGGGAAATATGTGCAGGGACATTTCGAAATACATGCATTTAAATATGCAGAAGCAGCATCTATGATATGGAGGATGGAAAGGTAGGAACAGGATTATCACCCACTGGGAGATCTCACCCACTTCACCAGTGAAGCTTCATGCTTGGGTCACCTTTCTGACCAGTTACACTTTTGTCATGGTCATCAGTATCTTCATCAGATGAATCAAGATTAATCAAGTTGATCACATGTGAAGGATGGGAAAACAGAGTAATGGCTGAATATCTGCTCTCAGATGAGGCAGCAGAGATCCTCTGGAATGCTAAACTACTCCCAAAAGCTGGCATCTCTTCCAAATGACAATCCTGCTTTGCTGTAGACACTGCCCTGTGCATTTCTGTGTCCTCTGCACATTAAATTAATTCTGACTGCAAAAACTGCATTGCTACTCTTTGTAACACTGAGGTAAGAGGAATGGCTGTGTCCTCATTTCACACACCTATTACCAGGTTTAACTTACCAGATACAGCTCTGAGCAGCATCAGCTTCTCCATACAACAGGGGTGATGCAAAGCATTGTGGGTAGGGATGCTTTTCACCAGCTCACTACATGTACCCAACTATGTTGGGAACACCTCCCAGCAAAGAAGAAAAACTGAAGAGGGACGAGTGGGTAGAAAGAAAAGCAGCACACTGTGTTTTGTTCAGCATTCGACTCAAGCAAGTTAGGTTTCTTGGAACACCTCTTCAATAGCCTGCACTGAGAATACAAACAAGACACACACCCCCTCCGTGATTCAAGTACTCTACCTTTCAGCCCCACCACACCACAGAATGAAGAAGGAATCCTCACAGAGCCACCTCCATCTGTGCCAATAGCCACTGGGCAGAGACCTACAAATAAAACATGCATTGGCCTGTGACCAGCAAGACATTGCATTGCCTTGACCATTCTACCAGCAGCTGTAGCCATGACAGCACCCTGAGCTTTCTGTCCAGCAAGGAGTTCCCTCTACCTTCTAACCACCCCCCAGAGAAACTAAATGCCTGAGGTGCTTTAGCTCAGGACCTTCCTCCCACTACACCTGAACTCCATTGAGAACCACCTACCTGCTGCTACAGATGCTGCTGACCCACTGGAGCTCCCCCCTGTGAAGTGGTTCGGCTTGTAGGGATTCCTTGGGACCTTGTGGTACCTGAAGCAGACAAAAGAGGACTGAACCTTTTCCTAGGAAGGACCGGATGCTCTACAGGGTAGGAAAAGACCCAGAAACACAGCTCAGGGATTCTGATCTCTTAGTAAAGACAGATACCATTTAATCCCAGATACTGCAGTGTCCCTAGAAAATAAGATGCAAAAAAACCACTTCTGCCTCTGAGTACAGTCTCTTGTTACCATAAGCAGCCTATTCAAGAGGCTCAAAGCAAGAGGAAGGATGCTGCTTCAGCCCTTTTGTCTGTGACAGCACTGTGCCATTACTGCATGCCACAGTTCCCCAAGTCCCCAGTCTGACCAAAGTCCCTGGACATCAGAAACCTGCCAAGGTACCCAGCCAAACCTCACAGAGTGAGGAAATGCCCTGGCATGTTGTTACAGCTGAAGGCAAGCCCCAGTTCCATCCAGCTGCACATGCAGGAAGGATTGCTCTGCACATGGCTTATCAAGGCTGTGAGGACCACTGCTCTGGAGCAGCAGTTCTCAGCATGGCTATTGCTGGAAAATTCACAACAAATTCCAGTGAACCTCTTTTAGCTAGGAAATAAACCCATTATGTTCTCCTGAGATGACTATACCTGCTCTCACTGTTCTGGGCCACTACTGTGACTGAGCATTAGCCTACTATTTGTGTTCTATCCCTGCTTCTGTCTACCACTCATGCGTGTAAGCATTCATACCTCCAAGCCTGTAAGGCCTGGCAAACCAAGTTCCTTACTCAGCACCTGTATCCTCTCCTTCCTCTGATTTCAGGAGCCTTCAGGCTTTCATAGCTACTCTGACCTTTAATTCTACAATGCACAGGGTTCTCCCTGTGTGGGGTGCTTCTGTTATCCTTACATGCTTGCCCTACACTTGTACCCTTTCTTGTCAGTTCTGGACAGACTTTCAGGTCTTTCTAAATCAGGGGAAAGAAAGGGGAAAGGTATTTTTACCTATTAGGGTTGCATCCAGTTGTTCCAGTCCCTAGTTCGTGCATGTTTGAGACCCCAATAATGATAGCTCCAGCCTCCCGCAGCTTCTTGGCCACAGTAGCATCTTCTGTTTCAGGCTCTGTCCCAAGATACACTGTTCCCGCTCGGTGATGATAAGGTACCTCAGCAAGAAGACACACTATTCATCCTAAACCCCTGGCAAGGTAGGCTAACCCATGCACACTTCAACCCCACAACAGATCCCAGGCATCAGAAACCACAGAGGTAAGTAAAGAGCTAGGAAGCTTCACTTATCAACTTATGCTATATTTGTTTCTGTTAGGAGGGACACTTAACCCTTTAGTATTTGGTCCTTCACCCATGAAAAGAGGTCCTTTTAATACCATGATACAGAAAAGCAGGAACATGTAGATGTTCATAAAGTCTGCCTGCCTGAAGCAATGCAACTGCTACTCCCAGGGCTGTAGAACAGTCGCTTTGGCCCCACAGCATGCAGGAACTCCATTTCCAATTCTTCTATGGACAGAGCTGCAGTTTAAGATCTGCAGTGCTTGGAAGCAAGGCCCAAGGCTTAGATGAATGCCAAAATACCATATGGCCCCATTTCCAGGGTACGCTAAGTACTGTTCCCTTTGGGGCAGCAATGGAAGAATCTGTACACAAACAGGACTGCCACCCTATGGCAGCAATGGAAGAATCTGTACACAAACAGAACTGCCACCCTATGGGTAGGTCTCTGCAGAGCCTACAACAGCTTGATGGCACTGCCAGGGGTATTTAATGCTAGCTGCTGTGAGGCTACAGGAAAAATTCCTTGTGAGTGGTGATTTTCAAAGTAACTTCCATACTTCTGACACATCCTTTGAGTTATCCCTAAGGAGAGAGGGATGCTTTGCCAGTGGAACAATGTCAGTGCTGGAGAAGTACAGATAGTTACACCCACTGCTACAGATGCCTTTATACATTCTCACTGCATTGTAAGAGAGGCTGTTCCCACCCTCTACTCCCTGTGGATTAAAGAGACCAGAACAAAGCAGGCAACATGCCTGCTGTACCCGAGATCTGTCTTCACTTGACAAAACTTGTTAATCCTACTCATTGCAAACCCACACACTACCCCTTACTACAAAGATATTCTCAGGCTTCTGCTGAGGAGTTGGCCTTAAAACCTTGTCCAGGTTGAGCTCCTGCAGCATGAGCTGAAAGCTGGACAAGGCAACTCACCACTCTGAATTCTTCTTTCAGACACACTGGGATGCCATCCAGATAAGACAAGGGACATTTATTCCTGTAGCGAACAGTGGAGGCCTCCGCCATCTGCAGAGAAAAAGCATGTGGTTTATATATACATACATATATATATATATACACATGTATGTATGTATGTATTTAATTGAGCTGAAGGTCATCACCAGTACTGGAATCGATACCAAAAACAGCTCTCTCTGGCTGCTACTAAGCCAAACTATGAAAGTTTCTTTCTTCTTCCACCATATGCTGATGGGAAATTACTACTTGGAAGTATCTATGCTCACGGATGCCACATAAGCACACACAAGTCCAATTTTAAACGTAGTTGTCCAGCAAGAAACAGATTGCTTTAATGCTACCTCCCTCTGCAGGAAGGAAAGACTTGTTGGTCACCCTCTACACAAGGAGGGAGGAAAGATGTATGTATTTTCCTGTGCAATCTATCAGCAAAAGAGCCTCTGCCCCTTCTAATGGTGTGGCAGAGGCCCCTTTCCTACCAGAGGCAGACATTACCAGCATTATTTGCTCCGGGTCCCATTGCACTATGGCTCTGAGTGGGGGTGTGGATTTGTTGCAGTCCTCCAGCACAGCAATGATGTTCTTTGCTACCTGGGATGGCGTCAGCTTCCCACTCCTGCAGGACAGGAGAAGGTGGGACCATGTTACAAGACCCCCACACCACATCCAAACACAGGGTTTGCCTCTCATGGGGCTGTCAAACTGTAAGCAAGAACAAGAGTCTGTGTGTGATGATGGTTTCAACACAGTTGACACCATCAAGACAGGAGGCTCCCTTTCCTTAAGGGAAGGATTTGCCTACACAACAGGACTCCAAACCTTAGAGTAGGGGCAGGAGCTAGGACAGTTGCCCAGATATTCCTGATCCACCATATAAACAGGAAAGGACAGCTGAGAACCTTACAGAGAGCCCTCAAGCTCCTGGAAGCCTGAGGCTATGAAGTTCCCATAAGCTAAGACCAAGAGGCCTGTCTGTCCCCTTTACAGAGAAAGGGAGAGAAGCCTGTTACAGCGAAGGGTCTCCCAGCAGTACCACCATAACCCACCTCTAACAAACAGAACATTCCCTCCTGACTAAAAGCTATGTTACACCACAAACACATCTCTCTTTGGCCAACATGAAAGCCTCACAGTCAGGATGCACCTTTAACACTAGACTGCAGTGTCAGGCTTTTGCTCCATGGCTGCAGCCTGCTGGCAAAGGTGGCCCTTGAAGAACAAGTTCAAAGAGGATTTATCTCAGAGCCCCACTCCTGGCACATGTCCCAGAGGCAATCAGGGGTTATTGTGCAGTCAACAGCCCACAGAACCTCAGAGTCAGAGATGTGCTTCCAGCTCTTTCCCAGCTGGACACGTTTACTGAGTAAAACCAGGTAACAAGCAGCTGGGGAACCAAGGGATTCTTCAGAGCCCCACATTCACATTATCCAGCTTCTCCTCCTCACTGATGTGTTTGGGCAAACAAGGTATGTAGAAAACTCCCCCAAAGAAGAATGACAATCATCCAAGGAAAATAGCATTTAAATATCCTTGCAGGGCTTGTAAGAGTTGAGCCAGCTCTCCCAGCTGGCTTTTCTTCTATTATTCTGTTAGAGGGAAAGGACTGCAGAGGGTGAGGCTAAACATTGGTACCACAAGGACAATCCTAACAAAGAGATGCCTGAGAGCTCATGGAACACAAGCAGCCCACAGCAGGGGAATGTGCAAGACAAGTTGTTTCCAGACCATGATTTCACTTACTGGTAGCACTCCAGGTAGTCTTTGATCCCTTTGAAGCTAAACCCATTGCTAGGAGAATCAGACCTGCAAAGAAAGGATTAAAGGGGCAACTGTGATCCACGAAATCCACCTCTGTTTAGACCTGTAGACTTCAGCATCAGCCCAAAGCAGGTCTGGCCACCACTCACTGACCTGCTGGCCACCTTTTGGACCACTAGCCTATGTATTTCAGCTCACATTCTGCCAGCCTCTTTGCACTCATGCCAGACACCAGGTACACTAAGGGTGCCATACAATTAAGGCATCAGTCTTGCTGACATGTTCTGATTGCTTCATACTTCTGCTGCAATACAGCCGTCGTTAAACTGTTTGACATCTGAGGTTTACATCTGCTACTCACCACTGCAGGATAGCTAGGATATAGTGGTAAACCTGCCTCCAGGATCTCTGTCCCTAGGCAGATCCTGAGACAACCAGCAGCACATACAGTGTATGGTGTGGAAAGAGGAAAAGGCACTATGCAGCACGCAAAGATACCCATCAGCAAACTGCTTAAAAACAAAGTTGATGGCTCTAGCACATCAGAAAGAGACATTTCTCATCACAACAGGATAAACATAAAAGCTAGCTGCAATTACTACTCCTGTGATGGCTCCATGTCATCATGCAGACCAGAAGCCATGTCCTGGAACAGGCCAGTGTACAACACCATAATGTGCTATGCAGGGAAGAGGTAAGACTCCCTGTAACACTCAATATATCACTGGTGGAACTGGAGACACAAGAACCAGAAGGCTGCACTCACCTTATCTAAAGCCTGTAGGAAATACATCCCTCCCTCTAAGGCAAAGGAGCTGAAAGCTTTTCATTGCTCTAGCTTAAGAACTCAATCAGGGAGCAAGATTAGTCCTGCTAAAAGCTAAGATGCATACAGAGAACCCATCCTCTGAGCTGCTGCTGAAGTGGAGCTCAGACATTTTCAATAACTACTGGATAGGCTCACAGCTTAGAATCAAACTCAAATGAGGAGAGCATTCGTACCAGCCCAGCTGCTCCAATCTCACCATCAGACCTCAGCAAGACATGCAAGCCTGAGTGATGGCTGGAATCTAGTGGGATTCATTCAAGCCCAGGCTGTAATCAAGAAGCTGAACAGGCTTTTACCCAAGCAACCTAAACGTGAAAACAAACCTTATGTGGATTGTTTTCTCTCTTGTTCCTTCTCTCTTCCAAGCAAACCCTGTGTTCTCTTTGGGATTTCTTGCAGGCAAGAAATGGCACACTTGCAAATTCATGTAACGCCAGCCACTAAGTATATCTGCTCTGATAGTGCAACCACAGCCCTTGCAAGGGCAGGACCCAGTCTCTCTCCAACAAGGAGACTCCCTGGAGCTTGTAGAAACTTCACATTTCTTGTAAGAACAAGTGATGTGTAAGTTACACAAGGAAAGATGACTGACAGCACTATCAGTCTGTAGAGCTGATAGCAGACTGACAGCACTATCTGCTTTGTAAAGTAGCTGGGTGTGTAAGATCTGAATCCAGATTACTCCCAACAACAGCTTCCCACTTAAACCATGCCAATACGTGTGTTGTCCCACACTACTTTTACACATCACGCACTGACCTTGCATCTAGCAGCTGCTTGATAATATCTGCAGTGTTTTTAGCCTCAGACTTGTCTTCTGTGATGTCCGCAGCAACCTCTGGGATAAATGTGGGATCTTCATGGATGTCAAGCGAACGCATGAGCAAGAAGTTTTCCAGCCTGGAAGAGAGTTACTGATAGTCTGCAAACTCTCCCATGAGTAATCTCCCAGCCTGCTCAAAGGGAGCCTTACCCAGAACACTGTGTCTTAGCAGTCTGCTCTCCCAGCAGGGAGTTGCAACAGATAATGTCTTGCACCTTTCTTTCCCAAAGGCAGCACCACATTTGTTTTGCTTGCTTAATAAAACCTCCTACCACTTGACATAAAGCCAGCAGCCTCTATAAACTCCAGCTGGGAAAGAAATGGTGAAAGTTTCCAATTTGCTTTCACCAGATGCATCACCCACAGACCAATAAAGACAGCATTGGAGAGGAAAAGCAAGGAGAAAGGAATACAAGCCTTACATTCAAGCACTAATCCTGCTAAAATCAGCACCTCCCTCAAGCTTTTTCATTACCTGCTTCAACATAGCTCATTTGCAAATACAACAGGGAGCACAGCACAAGGCCAGTGTTTGGAACATGTAAAGACCCTGTCTGTTGGTTGATACAGGGTGAGTGGTGGGTACTGTCTACCTGGATTTCTCTTCCAAGGCTTTTATACAGTTTCTCACAGTTTAGACAAGTGGTCTGTGTAAGGGATGAGGAACTGGCTGGCAGGCTGCACCCAGAGGTTGGTGGTAAATATCTCCTTCTCAAACTGGGGACCTGTCACCAGTGGGGTCCCCCAGGAATCAACACATTGGGCCTAATTCTGTTCAATATCTTCCTAAATGACCTGGAAGATGGGATCAAGTGTACCCTGACCAAATTGACTGATGATACCAAACCGAGTGGGGAAGTGGACATTCTGGAAAGGACAGCCACCCTGCAGGAAGACCTGGATAGGCTCCAAGAGTGGGATAACAAGAATCTTATGGAGTTCAACAAGGACAAGTGTAAGGTCTTGCACCTGGGTAAGCACAACCCAAGAGCACAGCACAGGCTGGCATCTGCACATGTGGGGATCAGCTCTGTGGAAAGGTACCTGGGGGTCCTGGAGGACACAAGCTCAACAGGAGTGAGCAGTGTGCTGCTGCGGCAAAGAAAGCCAACAGGATGCTGGGTTACATCAACAAGGGCACCACCAGCAGGCATAAAGAAGCCATTATCTCACTCTACTCTGCGCTTGTCAGGCTATACGTGGAATACTGTGTTCACCTTTGGTCCCCACTGTACAAAAAAGATGTGAACAGGCTGGAGAGTATCCAGAGAAGGGCCAAAGATCCTCAAAAAACTGGGAAGCCACATGAGGAAGGGCTGAGAGAACTGGGTTTGTTCAGCCCAGAGAAAAGAGAGTTTAGGGGTGACCTTATCACCATGTTCCAGTATTTAAAGGGTGGCTACAAAGGAGATGGAGACTTTATATTTACAAAAAGTCACATGGAAAGACAAGGGGTAATGGGTACAAGTTACTCCTTGGGAGATTCCACTAGGACACCAGAGGAAAATATTTCACAATGAGAACCATTGGGAAAATTAGGATAATTGAGCCATTGAGATAATCTCCCAAGGGAAGTGGTGGGATACTCAACTTTGGACACTTTTAAGACTCAGCTGGGGCATCTTGTGCAGGTCATGCTTTGCCCAGAAAACTTGGACCAGGTGATCCCTAAGGTCCTTCCAACCTGGTATTCTAGGATTCTATGTCAAGGAATGACCTGCTGTAAAACAGGTTTCTGACTGACTCAAAAAGCCTATGTTCCATGTAAAAATTCAGGGGTACTAATTGTCTGCAATACATGCCTCAGATGACCCATTAAATGACAGGCAAACTACATGAGCCAAGTAAGAGGCTCCTGATGCCTCTTACCTGAGTGGCTCTTAGCACAACATACACTTGAAAGCACAGCTTCTGAACAAAAACTGTAGTAAAAAAACATCTATGAAATAACCTTGCTCGCTCTCCAATCAGTTTCTGCAGCTTCCCTCTTAGAAAAGGTCTTTCCAGATAACCCATAAGTGGTATGCAATGCAAGAAAAAGAAGCTTGGAAGGGGAGAAACCTCCCCACTCTTACCTTAGTATAAGTGGCAGTAAGCAGATCTGTCCAAAAGCCTAGAAGAAAGTAAGCAAAAACATCAGTTTGCAGTAATCAAAACCTGAACACCTTCCTCACTAGACAAAGAATGTGCAATAGCTGCAGTCTTGGAGCACCCTAGAGAACATGCAATGCTATGCAGTAAAAAAAACAGCACAAACACTTGTGTTTCAGGCCACAAAATAGGCTCAAAATGCTTTCCCTCTCTCACATTTATATTACAAAGAGTGCATTCTTCTTGCTCTCCTGCCTTTATCTTTCCCTTACTCAGCCTGCAGCTGCAGGCTGCAACAGTGTTAAGAGGCATATACATAGCTCTTTTCCATTACCATCTTCATGTTCCACAGATACTGCAAACATTGAATAAGGCAGTAGATTATTATCATCATCTTCATCAACCCACTGTTAAGATCTTCCCTGTCACTCAACTACCTCCTGCAGCAAACTGAGCCAGCTTGGAAAAGCATGGGAAATGTAGAGATTCCATAGCAGCAGACAGGGAAAACACTTTGGATAACTTGGTTCCCAGTGTAGCAATACCATCAGTCCCAAATAAAGCAGCCTTGTTCTAGCCTGTCTTAACAGCTCAACAATGGACTTCCAAAACATGTTAAGGGATGTGCAAATACAGTACAAGTCTGAAGCAAGGCTCACACCTCTAGATCCATGAAAGGTATGTTGCCTCACACCTTATGAAACAATTAGAGTCTCTTTTCTAATCTATATCTAATCTAATGCAGCACAATCCTGCAGGAGATTGAGAAACAAATGCCTTCCCTCCAAAGGGGGTGTCAGGAAAGGAAACAAGCAACAGAAATGGCCACAAAGCAAAGGATAAAAAGGTGTTCTGGCTGTTATATCCTGGGGGAAAGCCACTTGCAAGGTATTCTCATGAATAAACACAGATCATCACTAGCATTTACTCCAGACCCAACCAGCGGCCAAGGTCTGTAAACAGATCACACTAACATTGACACCAGCTCAAGAGGCAAGGCTAAGCAGCAGCAACAAAATCCACCTGCTTTCAGGCAGATGATGCTGCCGCAGGCTCACTACCAAGAGGATGCAGGCTTTTCTCCCCCCAGCACCCTGCCATACAACGGTCTCATGTCAGCACCAGCCACAGACGGAATCCACCCACAGGCTCACAAATCCCCCCCTCCCCGAGGAGGGCAATGGGGACAGCTGCCTTCAGCACCAAATCCCACCCGAGGGGAGCAATGGGGACAGCTGCCTTCAGCACCAAATCCCACCCGAGGGGAGCACTGGATACAGCTGCCTTCAGCACCAAATCCCACCCGAAGGGAGCAATGGGGACAGCTGCCTTCAGCACCAAATCCCACCCGAGGAGAGCAATGGGGACAGCTGCCTTCAGCACCAAATCCCACCCGAGGGGAGCACTGGATACAGCTGCCTTCAGCACCAAATCCCACCCGAAGGGAGCAATGGGGACAGCTGCCTTCAGCACCAAATCCCACCCGAAGGGAGCACTGGATACAGCTGCCTTCAGCACCAAATCCCACCCGAGGAGAGCAATGGGGACAGCTGCCTTCAGCACCAAATCCCACCCGAAGGGAGCAATGGGGACAGCTGCCTTCAGCACCAAATCCCACCCGAAGGAAGCAATGGGGACAGCTGCCTTCAGCACCAAATCCCACCCGAGGGGAAGCAATGGGGATAGCTGCCTTCAGCACCTGCCTGAAAACCCCACTCCAAGGGCTGAAGCACCTGAACCCCTTCAGGTCTGAGTAACGTTCGCGGCGGCTCTACGATGATGCTGGATTTGGGCTCTCAATGCCCGAGTACATCCATGACACCCTCACCCCGAGGGTGCCTCTCCCCACCGCCTCCCACCCCGGGGACACAACCTCCCTCTCCAAACGCGGGTTTTACCTCCCCATCGAGCCCCGCTCCCTCCGCAACCCCGGCGGCCTCGGCCCCGTCCTGTTCCACCCGCGCAACCCCGGATTTCACGGCCTCGCCAGCCGGCCCCCTCGCCCGCACTCACCGTGTTGGCCACATGGACGAAGAAGCGCAGGCCGGCACCGCACAGCCGCGGGGCCCACTGCGGAGAGGAGGCGAGAGGTGAACACCGGGCCCTGATCCCCGCCACCCGCTACCCCCCCCCCCTTCCCTCCTTCCCCGGCGCTCACGGAGCTCCGCGGCGGGCTGCGGCCCCTCGCCTCGGCCCGGCCCGGCTCCCGGCGCTGCACGGCGGCCGCCGCGCTGCCCGTGTGCCGCCGCACGCAGCACAGGTACACGGCGGCGGCCGGCAGCACCGCCGCAAGCAGGAACAGCAGCAGCTCCATGACCGCCCTTCCACCAACCCCTGCGGCTGCAGCGAGGCAATGCCGCGCCGGGCCTGACCCCGCCTTGCGGCCCGTTCGAAGCTGAGGGGAGGAGACGGCAGCCGAGGGAGGAGCTCGCGGGCCTTTAATTAATAGGGTGTGAATACAAGCGGCTCCAATGAGCCACAGGGGCTGCAGAGGACGGAGCTGACCGCCTCAAGGTGCAGAGTTCCCCTGACGGCTTCAGGCAGGCTCGGCTTGGTGGTGGGCTGGATGCTTGGCTCCCCCACGCTGCTGTTGCCCCTTTCATCGTCAAACAGCTCTGTGCTTCAGGACACCTTCTACAGAGCGATGTTCAGTGGCCTCCAAGAGGGTTGAGCGTGAATCATAGATGTAGAAGCGACTTGGCTGCAAAAGAGCTTTAAGATTGTCAAGTTCAACTGTTCCCAGCACTGCCAAGGCCACCACTAACCCCTGGCACTGAGAGCCTCGTCTACACGGTGTGTGAACGCTTCCAGGGACGGTGACTCCAGCACTGCCCAGAGCAGCCTGTTCCAATGCCTGAGCACCCTCTGGGGAAGGAATTGTTCCTCAGCTCCAGTCTAAACCTGCCCTGGTGCAGCTTGAGGCCGTTTCCTCTTGTCCCATCCCTTGCTCCTTAGGAAAAGTGACCGACCCCACCTCACTCCATCCTCCTGTCAGGTAACTGTAGAGAGCAATAAGGTCCCCCCCTGAGCCTTCTCTTCTCCAGACTAAACCCCCAGGTCCCTCAGCCATTCCTCATCACACTCGTGCTCCAGGCCTTGCACCAGCTCCATTGCCCTAATGTTCTAATGTACTTTCCATTGCCCAACGTGTGTTCCCATGGGTGGGGAGCACCCAGGCTGTCTGTCCTGCTTCCACATCTTCCTTAGCTCTGGGGAGCTCTTATTTCAACCACTGTGCTAGCTGGGGTTTGTGTTCCCTGAGGGCTGGTGAGTTACTTCCCATGCTCAGCATGCACATTTGCCCTGGGGAAGAGCAGGCGGCAGTGGCACAGTGTTATTAACAACACACAGCACTGGAGTCCAGGTACAAGGAAACATCTTGAGAACTCCTACTTGACTTGTTTTGTGAGAGGTTTTTGACATTTTGTGCCCCATAATAAGGATTGCAATGGTGGTAGTAGCCACAGTGACCTGCAGTTGAGGTCTGTCCTAGCTAAAGTGCAGGAAACCTGGAAGACATCTTGTCAAGAAATGATTATTATATGATACTAGATTGGAACAAACATTTCCAGTAGCCTGAAGCATGTCCTTGGCTCTAGTGCTTACATGTATTAAATAGTGGCTGGAGGTGACAATCAAGGTGTCTTTTAGGAATGCAAAGTAGCTGTTTAATGAGCAGATTGGGTTTCTTATACAGCCCTTTGTAAAGGCTCAGGGCATTTTTGTGTCTACAAGCTGCTGAATATGGTTTAATTTAATGGATTTGCTGTAACACCGGTGCCTGCTCTCCAGGAAGGTAAACTACCTTTCCTCCCAGGAAAACTGGTGTGCTTTTCCTGGAAGGCAGATCCTTGGGAAGGCCCTGTTTCTGGTGGCCTCAAGGGGTAACTGTGCATAGAGTGTATTGGTTGGACAAAGCCTTAGGTGACATGGTCTAGTATGAGGTGTCCCTGCCCATGGCAGAGGGTTGGAACTGGATGATCTTAAGGTCCTTTCCAACCCTAACCATTCTATCATTCTATGATGACTGTGTAAATGTAACAGATTTCTTTTATTCCCAGGCATTAAGCTTTGTCCCTATCAAATAAGTATAAACTGGCTGGTGCAACCCTATGAAGTCCACAGGGTTCTGTACCAGGATATACTGATGTATATACTGATATATCCTGACACAGCCATACTGGACTTCATAGGGTTCAGCTGGTTTTACTCAAGGGGTTTTAAATAATAAACTGGTAGTTTCAGAAAGTGATGTATGGTAGATCTTCTTTCTGTGGCTGTGGAACGAAAGGTCTTTGGAAAGGGCTCCAGATATCAAGGTCATGTTTTGGGATCTAGGCTTTTTTGTCACTGATGGTGGATCTCATTTGATATTCTATTGACTGGTTTGTGCTCAGGAGTCTATGGGAACTGGATACAAAGCTCAGTAAAGAGACAGTTTCTGTAGGTTCAGCCTATTGGGTGGAATCCTTTCCTCAATATCAGAAAAAATCTTTTCCTTGCTTCCAGATGATTTCTCTACTTCTATATTTGACAAAAAATAAAAATAAAAATTAATGAACAAGGAGACAGGTGTGAAGTCCCATGCTTTCACCAGAGCCAAGGACGTTCTTCGCTCATAATTAGAGCTTTGCCTTTACCAGCTTTCAGTGAAGAATCTTTAATGTCAGCTAAGATGTATGTGAGCTCCCTCTCCAAGGACAATTTTCAAGCCAGTTAACTCAAAATAGTATGATACATAGTGACTTACAGCAGTACAGTAAATATCAGTCCAGAAGACTTGGTATTTAAAACAGAGGAGTCTTTCAAGAGCTTCACTTACTACTTAAAAAGGTATTAGATGCAAAATTTCCTACAATTGACTTGCATTACACTACAGTGATCATATGCTGTTACCGTGGCCTCAAGTTTATCACCTCTTGCCACCAGTCAGAACTAGAGAGGGCTTCTGGAGCCTTATGCTTTCAAACAGGACTGGTTATAGAGCTGACATTCAGCTTGTAGGAAGTATTGTCATGGTTAGACAGCACTTTACAGAAGCATACAGCTGAAATAGGGAGGATTTTTCCTGGTTTTTACTAATAGTGCAAGTGCCCTGCAATAGTGATGAGTGCTGTGACAAATGCTGGGGGCAGGCAGATATCAGGAATGGCTCAGGATTTGTGTAGGAGCAGAAACCCCACTGACCCAAGTTTGGGTCTCCTAGAACTAGTGGGGCCTGCTGTGGGCACCTTGTTGAATTCCAGCAAAGCTCCTGTCCTTGGCCACTGCTGGAAATAGCAGGTTGTGCTGGATGAACACATCATGGGAAGAGCCAGGCCTAATGGAAGGTGGCCATGGCCATGTTGTCCTTACAGCCGTATCATGTCCTGCACTCCTACATGTGATTCTTCTTATTTTGCAGTTTAGCCCTGTTACATAGTACCCAGCGAGAGCAAGTAACTAGCCCTAGTACCACAGAAATGACAGCTCTGGTGTAATTTCCTACTTCTAAGGCTGCACATAACCTCAGAGCCATGTTACTCATGTTTGGGCCTTTTTTACCTCTAGCCTTTCTTCTTGAAAAAGCAGTTGCTAATCAGTTGTACCTTGTCCTGTGTCAGAGCACTTGGAGCACTTTGTAGAGGTGGGTCAAAGTTATCAGGTGTCACACCACCACTCCTTACCAGCGGTGTAACAACACAAACAAGTTGAGCAAGAGCCCTGCTCTAATATAATCCATTGACAGATCAGACTCTGCTCTGCACATGAGCTTCTGCAATGCTTCACTCTGCAGTGTCCCCTCTGCAATCCAGCTGCTGAGCCTGTAGAATAAGAATAATGACATTTGAGTGCCCTGGCAATGGAGAGCACTCTTCAAGACCAAAGAGAATCAAGGCAAACAGGCTGTGAGGAGAACTTAGGTTGCTGTGATTCCAGCCCTTGTGTTCCGCTGGGAAGAGAAGTGTGTGGCAAGAAAAGATGGAGGGCCAGGCTTTCCCTCCCCTGCCCTATTTATTGTATGTTACTGACTACTTGAAAGAAGTCATTTCAGTATGAGGAGCTGGATCAGAGATGGTTTGCATTCTTGTGCAGTCTGTGAAGCAGTGCCTCCTGGGGCTGTGATTTCCCTTTGAAAACTTCCAAAGGACAGATCTTTAACAAACCTTGGGAAGTTCTGATGTGGTTGTGGAGGTCTTTGTCCTTATGCTGTATAGCACCTTGTCAGTGGATGCCTCTCCCTTGAATGTCTTTGCCACAGGACCAGCCCTGGGCAAATTCTGGACTTGAAAACATCTGTATTCCTGTTCTACAGTAAAGTCTGGTTTAAACACAGCACTGTCTGAGCTCTAGAGCTGGGAGGAAGGACAGCTGATTTCTCACTTATACATGGTTGCAAGTAGAGCTTGATCTTTGAGGGTCATTTGCTGGAGGAAGAAATGCTCTACTGTCACCGAAGTGCTGACACTACATTCTCCCAGTGCTTAAGATGCCTTTTAGTGTGTGACTCTCAAAGCAGTCTGGTGTGGCAGGCCATGTGGTGAGGTATAGCTCATGATGCTAGCTTGAAGCTGAGGATCCTTTTAGACAGGCTACTTTGGATCCTCACCAGGCTGCATCCAGCCAGCAGCAGAACTGTGCCAGAGCCTTGTTACCTCCCTGTGACTCCACACTCTAGACATGGCAACTGGTGGTGCAGATGAAGCTAACTAATTGCATTTGAACGTGGGGCTGAAAATGTGAGGGAATGGGCTATGACTCTGTGAGGCTCAGTGTAGAGAGTGGTGAGGCCCTGCTATGTAACAGTGACCCACAGTGACTGATTCAGCTGCTGTAGCCCCTCTACCACTCTGTGAAATGCTGTCACAGTATGTTGAGGCTCATGGTGCCTCATGTTCTTCTTCCAGTGGCCACCGTGTCTTGCTCTTTCCTCAGATGACTCAACTGCTTGATACCCTGCAAGCCCATACGGACTATAGAGGTATGTTCTGCACACTTTGGCAGCAGGGGTTTGTCCTAATGATCACTGCCATATATTGTTCCTTTGATTTTGTTTGATCTGCCAGGGATGGAGAAGGGGCTGTGATGAAGATATATTGCTGCTTAGTAGAGAAAACCCATATTCTTGCAGTGGTGCTGTGAGTTGAAGGGCCTTGAGTTCAGCTCTTTGCTGTGTTACCACCTACCTGAAATGAGCTGGCACTTAAATGTTGTTCTTCAAAGCAGTGTCAGCTTTGGTTCCTCAGCAGAACTGAGCTAACAGATGGCAAGGTAGCAATATTTTGTTACATATCCCTGTTCAATCATGTATCTGAGTCCTCAACTAATTTCACTGAAGGCAATAAGATTGCTGTAGATTCAGTT